TTATACCGCAATAAAGGGACTTGCTGCTAACTGCATCTCCCAGCATTCCTTATCATTGGCCTTGCTGGCTAGGTCTACTGAGAGGGTAGCACAATTCGCATCTCTGTTATAAAGCAAATGTGAAAAACCTCTGATACAAGTTCTCTCTGTGATGCAAGAAATTAAGAGGCTTCAGCATGCCTGGGAAAGAACACAGGGTTCACTATGGCAAAGAGCGGAGACATGGGGAAGTTTTTAACAAAAACATATGAAAGAAGTACTTTTATTATGTACTAGCCATCCCCTGCCATGCATTGCTGTGAATATGTGTTTTGTGTATATTTGTGTATATGTGTGAGTATGGTTTTGTGCATGCGTTGTAATATATATTTTTGGTTTTTTGGCTTTTAAAGTATCTTCTCCTGTGTTTTCTAGTAATTTTATAAGTGATGGTCACTCGTTGGCCTGATACGTGTATTGTGTCCAAATTTGGTGTCAATTCATCCAGTGGTTTTTGAGTTATGTTAATCCCACAAATGAACATTACATTTTTATTTATATAGATTCCCCTTTAGCAGGGTATTGTCTCTTCCAACTCTATGATTCTATAATTTTATGACTTTTCTACAGATATTTTTGAGTACAAGTCCCTCACATCCTCTAAAAATTGGTCATATGGGCTGAGACTTTTGAGAGTTGAAGTCCATTACATTTGGAGAGCCAAAGGTTTCTTAAAGCAGCAAAAAAAAACCCCAACACTATTATTTCTCCCTCAAGCAATGCACTTTGTCTCTTTCTGAGTTTTAAAACTGCCAAGACAATGTATGCCGCTTAAGCGACTGAGAGGGGGAAAAAAGGGCCTGAGGCTGTTAAGGAATGGTGGGAGTTGAAGTCCAAAACACCTGGAGGGCCAAAGTTTGCCCATGCCTGATCTACACTGCAGAATGAATGTAGTTTGTTTGTTTTTTTGTCGTGTCAGGAGCAACTTGAGAAACTGCAAGTCGCTTCTGGTGTGAGAGAATTGGCCGTCTGCAAGTCCGTTGCCCAGGGGACACCTGGATTATTTGATGTTTTTATCATCCTTGTGGGAGGCTTCTCTCATGTCCCTGCATGAGGAGCTGTTAAGA